AAAGCTCACACTACAGTGCATTTCAACATGGTGACAGTGTAAGGAGTAGTGTTTACTGGGAGTGAATACACTGGTTTATTACAAGTTATTGATAATTTTTACAATGGTTGGACTGGGCTGTTCTTATAGCGATCAGTTCGTGCACGTATGGGCTGGATGCGATTGTGGTGTCGAACAGCAATTCTCGGGCTAGGGATCTCAGGTGGTAGTAGGAGCTGGTGTCGAGGATGGTGTAGAAGCTTCTTACCAAATTTGCAGATGAGGTCGTGGTGATGGTCAATAAGTCGAAAGGGTCAGTGTGTTGAGCGCTTCTTGATATGTGGAGTAGGAAGGGGAGAGAATGATCTTGCATGCCCTCTTTTGCACTTTTTCTAGATGTTTACGTTGTGTAGCATTTAGGGAGGAAGACCAGGTGGGGGAGGCATAGGTGAGCTTGAGAAGTATGAATGTTGAGTAAACACTGAAGAGCTCGGGTGCAGGAACTCCGAGGGACTTGAGTCGGCGGAGGAGGTGGAGACGGAAACTGGAGGATTTGACAACTTCACTGACGTGTGGTTTCCAATTTAGTTTGTTGTCTATGGTGACGCCGAGGAGCTTCGTGGAATCTACAACCTGGAGTGTGTTCGGACCTAAAGTAATGGAAGGAGGTGGGACAATGTCGGAGGAGAGGTTGAAGTGCATAACCATGGTGTTGGTATGGTTGATGGTGACATGGTTGTTGGTGGCCCAGTTTTGGAGACTGTTCAATAAATCCTGAAGGGCGGTATAGTCGGGAGCAGAATTGTTGACGCTGATCCCAATGGTGGAGTCGTCGACATATTTCCAGCGAGCAGGGGTTTCTCTTTGGGCATCATTGATGAGCATAAGGAAGCAGAGTGGTCCCATCTTGGTGCCTTGGGGGACGCCACAGGTGAGTGACTGAAAGGTGGAGACAGCCCCTCGGAAGCGTACAGCTTGGCGTCGGTCACTGAGGAAGTCTGTAAGCCATGGTATAAGACTTCTCCGAAGCCCGAGGTCAATGGCTTTGTTGACTATATTGTGGTCGACTAGGTCGAATGCTTTAGTGTGTGTGTGTGTGTGTGTGTGTGTGTGTCGACAGATGCAGTGGACACCTGGAGACAATCAGAACATAACACAGGTAAGCGGTGAATTATCTTAATGACTCACACAAAAGGTAGATAAGAGAGAGAGTCTCTCTCTCACTCTCTCTCTCTCTCTCTCTCTCTCTCTCTCTCTGTGTGTGTTAATATCAAAAACTATTTTCTAAAATCAAATAAAATCATATTACGTAGAATTATATAATATTAACTAGTCTTACAGTCCCATATTTTGTAACATTAAGCAGTCTTCTATTAACCTTATAATAACGTAATCGCTATAGTAGGCCTATTGGGCCATACTAGGTAACTCTGTCTGGCCTATACTTGAAACTTACATTGTTCAGGTAATATTTCGTCCCTCTCTTTCCATTCCATACTCTTACAACTTTACTATTATTTTTTCAACATTAAATCACGTTATTATTTTTATGTCAGTGATAAAAGTTTTTGTTTTGGTCTTTCTGTAATTTTTTTGTCCTTGTTAGAATTAATTATATGTCCTGTTTTCGTGTTGTGATGGTGGTGGTTGTGATGGTGGTGGTTGTGGTAGTGGTGATGGGTTGTGGTAATAGTGGTGGTAGTATATGGCACAGCAGTTGTGGTGTTAGTAGTAGTAGGCCCTAAGAGGAGATACCATCATATAGTCAATTGAGGGAACTACGCTGGTGGATCCGGTCGCCAAGGCAATGTACGCAATAGGTCTATCCGTGCTCCAACACACAATAAACTATGAAACAACCGAGGTCAAGCAAGTGGCTATACTGATGACCTTATAGGAGCTAACACAGAGCCACATGCAGCTTTTGCAGCATTCACCCATAGAGTCAGACATCGTTGGAACTACCTGATGCGCCCTATCCCTGATGTCGGACCCCTCCTCCACCCTCTGGAAGAAGCCATCAAGGTCGCTTTTATCCCAACACTTGTGAAAAATCCTTACTTAACCCCAGCAGAAAGGTCACTCCTTGCACTACCACCGAGACTGGGAGGAATGGGACTGACTAATCCAGAGGTGCTTGACGCCACAGAACATCAAAAGTCTGGCAAGCTCACGACAGCCCTCACTGAGCACATAATAACTCAGGATGCAACAACTCAGGTGGATACAGCGAATTAAACAAGATTCGACGGTCCATTACGACAGAACGCCCGCACACCCAAAGTGATAACTTTCAACAACTGATACTGCAATTGTCAGAGAACTTGGAAAAAAAAGTAGTTATAGCGCAGGAGGTGGGCGCCTCGAACTGGCTAACAACGTTACTGATAAGGGCAAATGGCTTCAGCCTTAATAAACTAGAATTTACAGATACCATTGCTCTAAGGTACGGTCGGCCAGTAGGTCAGCCTTCCCAGTGCCTGGTTGAGATGTCGACTGTCCTCTCTGCTTGGGTCTGCTTGGCTCTTCCTCAGGGGAATTTTTTTTTTAGTTTAACAAATTTATTGGCAGAGCTTGTAGTACAGTTTGCCTATTCTGAGTAATTCAGTCAGGTCTTGACACTGAGGGTGGTATCACTTCTCACTGTCACGCAGGACAGAGGTTCACACACAAAGAAATACATCATATTCATTAACAACTATAAATGTATAGAGGTCAGATTCAAATGGATAATGTCACTGTTCATTGCCATTCAGGACAGAGGTTCGTACACAAAGAGTTGCATCATATTCATTGACAGTACATATACATATATGTAAACACGCACACACACATATACATACATATACGTATATACATACACATATACACGTACACGCACATATACATGCACACACGCACACATACATACATATACGTCAGTCAGATTCATGTGGGTAATGTCACTTTTCACTGCCATACAGGACAGAGTTCGTACACAAAAGAATGCATCATATTCATTGACACTATATAGGTCAGATTCATGTGGGTAATGCCACTGTTCACTGCCACGGACAGAGGTTCGTACACAAAGAAGGAAATACATCACATTCACCAGTAGCATATATAGGTCAGTGGATCACATACATTGGAGTCATATTCTAATTGAAGACTAATCAGTGTGGGCTAGCAAATTTGGGATAAACAGCAAGAATGTCCTCAAGCACACCTGATTCAATGAAGTAATTACATAGTTCAAGATACAGTAAGTCAGGTGGCCTGAAGTCCTCAGGGGAAGATAGCATCGGCCCCAAAGTCGACAACAGTCGCAGATATCGTCTTTGAGGCAACAGTCATATAAATGCCGCATCGATCTGTGGCTCAACTAACTCAACACGGCTAGGATAGCTACTTATGCATTATGATATTTAATATTAAGGTAATAAAATGGCGGCGAAGGTGTGGCTATTGGGGGAGGCTGGAGGCCACGTTCTAGGAAAGTAGTAGTAGTAGTAGAATTGACATCTCTCTCTCTCTCTCTCTCTCTCTCTCTCCCCCTCGTGTTGTATCTCATCTCTCTCTCTCTATCTCCGTGTTTACATTGTCTTATCTCTGCGGTCTATTAACATATTACTGTTAGCTTCTTGATAATCGTTTCTGATAATACTGACTAGGGTGTATTGAAGCTCTTATCTCTGGCAGTGTGGAGAGGAGGGTATGTGTGCGTGATGTCAGGACAGGCTGTGTTGTGTTGTGTTAGGTCAGGTTGTGTTGGGTCAGGTTGTGTTGGTTCAGACCAGTGTGACTAATACTACCTAGGTTGGGGCCCAGTAGGACTCATACTACCTAGGTTGGGGCCCAGTAGGACTAATACTACCTAGGTTGGGGCCCAGTAGGACTAATACTACCTAGGTTGGGGCCCAGTAGGACTAATACTACCTAGGTTGGGGCCCAGTAGGACTAATACTACCTAGGCCCAGTAGGACTCATACTACCTAGGTTGGGGCCCAGTGGGACTAATACTACCTAGTAGGACTTACCTAGGTTGGGCCCAGTGGGACTAATACTACCTAGGTTGGGGCCCAGTGGGACTCATACTACCTAGGTTGGGGCCCAGTGGGACTAATACTACCTAGGTTGGGGCCCAGTGGGACTAGTGTCTATCACAGCTGGCTTGATAACTTTGTCAGCCAAATACACCACCTTACTGACTTGACTGATTTATGTTATAAACTACCGAGGCAATGTTTATCTCTCTTTATTCAGCATATCAGTGGTTGTATAGAGGCGTGACTCACCAAGATACTTCTCCTGACGGCTGGGTTTCGGTAGTTGAGGTCCGGCTGTTCCGTCAGGTACTTGTGGAGGTAAAACTGCTGCCGCTCCTCCACCCACTGCCACACCGTCCCCCGGAACAAACACAGCTGCCGCACCACATAACGCATTTAATACATTTTATAACATACACCAATATATCAAACATCACGCACAGTTATACACCCTATAATATATCTGTTATGATATACTGTACATCATTGAACACGAATACCATTATATCGTTTGTTCATCCTTAAGTGATCTTCATTATGGATAAATAATATATTCATAAGTCAGATCAAAAACGACTACGGTATAAATAGTCAATTAACATATTATTTAAATTTTCAGACTCTCTCTCTCTCTCTCTCTCTCTCTCTCTCTCTCGGGATGGTTGATACACCCAGTTGTTAGGGGGGATGGTTGATACACCCAGTTGTTAGGGGGGATGATTGACAAATCAGAACCAAAAACAACACAAACCACCTCTCACCCCTCCATCTCCCCCCTCTTCTTACCCTCCCCTCCTCCTCCACCCTACAACCTGGAGGGGAGGGGAGGGGGAACTTGACCATCGCCCCTGTACACACCTTCCCTAAAGTCTGCCTGGATGACCACTGCATGTTATCGTGTCGTTGGTAGCATTCCGTCACCGCACAGCTGACTCCCCCACTACGCGGCCCCCTTCTACGTCCCCCTCCCCCCACGGCCCCTGCCTCGTGTTCACTAACTTCACTCCCTATCAGAGACTCGCCAGGGCAGGACCTACATCTCACGGGTGTCTTATACAAGTAACTGTAGTGAGAGGCGTGTGAGGAGGCCATGTAGTGCTGTAGGCTTGTAGCACAACACCGTCAGTATATGTATAAGAGCGAGGAACGTATATGTGTGTGTGTGTGTATGACGGGTATACAGGTGTAGAGGTGTGACTTAGTATTTGTCAAGAATACAAGAGACTGACTGATCGCTCTGGCAAGTGACGAAGAGAATAAGTCAGTAATTAAATCAAACTAACCCGTGAGTCATGGCGTCAAATGGCGTCTTGTGTGTCTCGCTGTTTTTTCTGTGTTGTGGATCTCTTAACTTGTTCCGCTATGTCAGCACCCCACACGACGACACCACGAAGATCTCAGACGAGGGTGATGGATCCCTCCCTTATAAACGATACCAAGAGATATTTCAGACGAGTAAAAGAAGTGGTGAGAGATATAAGGAAGATCTCTCAACGAAGGGGGCACCGGAGGAGGGCAACCAGCATATGCCCCAAGACCTGCCCCAAGATCTCCTCCACCACGCTGACGATACTCCTGACGATGACCTATACTCCTACCACCAACAACAAACACAGAATCCAGAATATGGTTACCATGATTTTGAGCCAGAAGACGAATCTCTCCACACTACGTTTGTGTTTTGGCGTAATGACGTGTGTAAGTCGACGACACATACGGCGAGAGAAGAAGAGGAGGAGGAGGAAGAAGAGGTAACGAAGGATATAGGAGAGGAAGAAGTGACGAAGAATGGAGAAGACGAGATGGCGGCAGATGGAGAAAAGGAGGTACTAGAGGAGGAGACAGGGGATGAAGGAGGGGAGGAGGAAGATAAGAAGCTAGCGTGGTGGCAGAGGAACATAGTGTATCATTTATATCCCTACTCCTTCCAAGACACTGATGGCTCCGGTATAGGCGACCTCAAGGGTGAGTGTTGGATGACCTCGTGTTGACGGTACAGGTGAGAGCTGGCTGGTCATATGGGGCCCAGTCTTAGACCCCAGTCCTAATAGACCCTAATCCTAGTAAACCTTAATCCTAGTAGACCTTAATCCTAGTAGACCCTAACCCTAGTAGATCCTTATTCTAGTAGACCCAAGACCTAGTAAACCTCAGTCCTAATAGACACCAGTTCTAACATGACCCAACCGAACCTAAATAACCCGACTACTAGGACTGGAGTCGTTTAGAACAGAGGGCCAGCTCTAATAGACACACATACATACAGATAGAGACACACACTTACAGACAGACACACAGACAGAAATATACCATTGTTTGTTGGTGTAAACAACGTGCTTGAAGCAAACGTTTGTAAATACCAAAAAAATAGTGTTAAACTCCATAACATCAATTTTGTCATGAGAATTGTTTTGTCTTTTGTTTGATGTGTGTGTGTGTGTGTGTGTGTGTGTGTGTGTGTGTGTGTGTGTGTGTGTGTGTGTGTGTGTTGTGGACTAAGCTGTAAAGAAGAAGTCATCATCATTAGTTGTGTTGCAGGTATAGCGATGAGGGCAGACTACCTGCAGCAGCTGGGTGTGGCTACAGTGTGGCTCAGTCCTATATTCACCTCCCCCATGGCTGACTTCGGCTACGACATCTCTAACTTCACTGACATCGACCCCATCTTCGGCAACATGCAAGACTTTGACTTCCTCTTGCAGGAGTTCCACGCCAGAGGTGAGTGGTGAATTCCTCTTGATGGAGTTCCTCGCCAGAGTGAGTGGTGACTTCCTCTTGATGGAGTTCCTCGCCAGGGGTGAGTGGTGGCTTCCTCTTGATGGAGTTCCTCGCCAGAGTGAGTGGTGACTTCCTCTTGATGTAGTTCCTCGCCAGAGGTGAGTGGTGACTTCCTCTTGATGGAGTTCCTCGCCAGAGTGAGTGGTGACTTCCTCTTGATGGAGTTCCTCGCCAGAGGTGAGTGGTGACTTCCTCTTGATGTAGTTCCTCGCCAGAGGTGAGTGGGGACTTCCTCTTGATGGAGTTCCTCGCCAGAGGTGAGTGGTGACTTCCTCTTGATGGAGTTCCTCGCCAGAGGTGAGTGGTGACTTCCTCTTGATGGAGTTCCTCGCCTCAAATCACTTGGATAAAATAATAAGTTAAATGATATTGAAGAAAAGTTCACAAAACTTGAGGTAAAAAATAACTTGGTAATTTTTCGTTGACGGGACGTTTGGCAGACCTGAAGGTGGTGCTGGACTTGGTGCCCAACCACACCAGCAACCAACACGAGTGGTTCACCAAGTCTGTCCTGCGGGAGGATCCTTACACTGACTACTATGTCTGGGCTGACCCGAAAGGCTACACTCCTTCCGGCACCCCCATCCCCCCTAACAACTGGGTGAGTCAACCATCCCAAGAGAGAGAGAGAGAGAGAGAGAGAGAGAGAGAGAGAGAGAGAGAGAGTCTGAAAATTTACATAATATGTTAATTGACTATTTATACCGTGGTCGTGTTTGATCTGACTTATGAATATATTATTTATCCATAATGAAGATCACTTAAGGATGAACAAACGATATAATGGTATTCGTGTTCAATGATGTACAGTATATCATAACAGATATATTATAGGGTGTATAACTGTGCGTGATGTTTGATATATTGGTGTATGTTATAAAATGTATTAAATGCGTTATGTGGTGCGGCAGCTGTGTTTGTTCCGGGGGACGGTGTGGCAGTGGGTGGAGGAGCGGCAGCAGTTTTACCTCCACAAGTACCTGACGGAACAGCCGGACCTCAACTACCGAAACCCAGCCGTCAGGAGAAGTATCTTGGTGAGTCACGCCTCTATACAACCACTGATATGCTGAATAAAGAGAGATAAACATTGCCTCGGTAGTTTATAACATAAATCAGTCAAGTCAGTAAGGCAGAGCATCAACCAGAGTCATAATAATCATCACTTTTATGCCCGAAGGAGGTGATGAAGTTCTGGTTGGATCGAGGTGTTGATGGCTTCCGTATCGACGCCATCAAACAGCTGTACGAGGTGGAAGACCTATACCAGGACGAGGCAGTGGACCAAGACTCAGGGCTGACTGACTCTCTCCTCTACAAGTACCTGACTCACAACCTCACCATCAACCAGCCAGAAATATTCCAAGTTGCCCTGAAGGAGTGGAGAGATTTAGTCGACCAGTACAATGACAAGTGAGAGTGTGTGTGTGTGTGTAGGTCATTCTGGGCAGCACTCTACTATACCCACAACGACGTAATAGGCAGAAGAGGTGACTAACAGACTAACTCAGCGACAGCCCACTGCTGAAGGGAACAAGCGAAGATAACTACCAAGAGTCTCTAATGACAATTCTACATGTGGGCGACACAGTGAGATTTAGGCAACTGAGTAATGCATCTAGTTAATGGCGCGTTTTCACGAATATCAGAAAAAATCGAATTCATTTTCATTTCTCCACTCTTAAATATCTCTAATTTCCATTTATATACTAGTTATCCTTCTAAAAATATTATAATGTGGGTAAAACTGCTCTTTAGTTACGCTCTACCACTGAGAGGGGCTTCCGTCATCACAATAAATCTCAAAATTCCGTTTCTAGCAGTGTTTAAAATTGTTAGTTTAGTTACTTGTTCAAAACAAACCATTTCCTATCATATTTATCAACAGAAAACGATATAAACCCAAATCATGGGTAATTATAAATTTATCTATAGACATCATCCGAGCATTTCTATATTGTCTACCACGAAAGGCCTACTTGTTTACATACAAAGAATCTAAAACTTACACCAGTGTTTCTTAATTGTTAGTTGTGCTTACATGCAAAATTTCAGATCTCTATGACAAACACTTCAGAGTTTACAGTCAATAATATGTAGTGACTTTTCAAAGTTCATTATCTCAAAAGTTATTTAATCGTCACAAGAAATTCAAAATCTCCTTTGTTTATTGACCTGTTTGAAAATTAAAAAACATTTACTAATCGTTCTATTTACCCTCCCCCCCCACAGGTTCCTGATAGCCCAGCTGTATGACCCAGACATCAGCGAGATCATGAAGTACTACGGGACCTCCTCAGCGCCTCTCTCTCACTTCCCTTTCAACTTCCGGTTTATACAGTATCTCAAGACCCGCGATGACGTCACGGGCCACACCCTACTGGCCTACATCACCGAGTGGCTGGACAACATGCCGGCTGGAATGTGGCCAAATTGGGTGGTGAGTGTGGCCAAGGTGTTTGGTGGTGAGTGTGGCCAAGGTGTTTGGTGGTGAGTGTGGCCAAACCATGTGGTGGTGACTGGTTAAATATCTATATCACCAGTGAGTACATTTGGACGAGTAAATAAACAAGTGTAGTTTATGTAATTAACAAAACAACGTCATGATATACTTATAAAACTCACCGTGACCTTAAATATTGACCTTTTGACCTAATGAAATGGCAACTGTAGGGAGTGTCTCACTGTGTGTGTGTGTGTCCTATAAGAGGATTCATTATTTACTAAGTGGCACCTCCATCAGCTGAGTAACCATGGCAACAGTCGCTTGGCGTCTCGGGTGGGCGGGGACCTGGTGGACGCCCTCCACATGATGACGATGCTACTGCCGGGGACCCCGATCACCTACTACGGCGATGAGCTGGGTACTGTCCCTCCCTCCCTCCCTCCACTACTACTACCTACCCTCCCCCCCATCTTAAACATTCCATTTTATCCAGTTTGTCTATACAAGATAATTATCCACTACTCATGATGAATATGAATAAGAAGCTGTTTATTATACACCTGTGAGAACTCTAATTAACACACCAGGTGCTCTCCCAGGTATGGAGGACATATATGTGAAGTGGGAGGAGACTCGGGACCCCAGCGGCAAGAACCTGGGACCTGAGAGATACCTGGAGGCGAGTCGTGACCGTTGCCGTTCACCCATGCAGTGGGACGACTCACATAACGCAGGTACGACTCATCTAGGACTCACATAACGCAGGTACGACTCATCTAGGACTCACATAACGCAGGTACGACTCATCTAGGACTCACATAACGCAGGTACGACTCATCTAGGACTCACATAACGCAGGTACGACTCATCTAGGACTCGCATAACGCAGGTACGACTCATCTAGGACTCGCATAACGCAGGTACGACTCATCTAGGACTCACATAACTCAGGTACAATTCCAACAAATCCCTCAGTCATGGCAGCCAAAAGTCAGTCATTTAATCAGTCAATCAGTCAGTCAGTAGTGCCAACAGTGCCAACAGTCAGTAGTGCCAACAGTCAGTAGCGTCAACAGTCAGTAGTGTCAACATTACCAACAGTCAGTAGTGTCAACAGTCAGTAGTACCAGCATTGCCAACAGTCAGTAGTGTCAACAGTGTCAACAGTCAGTAGTGCCAACAGTCAGTAGCGTCAACAGTCAGTAGTGTCAACATTACCAACAGTCAGTAGTGTCAACAGTCAGTAGTGTCAACAGTGCAAACAGTCAGTAGTGTCAACAGTGCCAACAGTCAGTAGTGCCAACAGTCAGTAGTGTCAACAGTCAGTAGCACCAACAGTGCCAACAGTCAGTAGTGCCAACAGTCAGTAGTGCCAACCCTCCTGCCCCCAGGCTTCAGCTCTGCCAACAACACGTGGCTCCGAGTGAACGACAACTACTTGACGATGAACGTGAAGGCGCAGATGGCGGCGCAGGAGAGTCACCTGCGTCTCTACCAGCGCCTGGCGAAGCTGCGTCAGGAGGTGACCTTCACCCACGGGAACCTGACTTTCCCCGTCGTCACCCAGCAGGTGTTCTCCTTCCTCAGGTGAGATGTTACCCCCTGCAGGTGTCGCCTCATGAATCTGGCAACTATAAATAATTAAACTTCTATTATTCTCGGTATATAGACTAATTAAACGAGTTCTATAGTCAGTACTCTTCCTGCCATACCTGAGTCACACAGCCTTTAGTCTCTATGACCAAAGGACCATTGAGTCGAACCAACAACCATTACTCAATCGTCGCCTCAAAAGTGCCAGCCTTCTTTATGTCGTGACTTGAGCTAGTGTGGGGGATGGGAGCTGGGGAGGGAGAGGAGGGATGGGGGAGGTAGGGATGGGGACGGGGCTAGAAGATGTGGGATGGGGGAAGGGAGGGTAGAGGAAGGGTACTAAGATACGTTCTTTCTATCTGCAGTTATGGTGATAAAAAAAGTAAACACAAGAATTCTTTGAGTAACTTCCGTAACTAAAGAAAACAGAAGTTCTACCGTAGTGTTATGGTCTCCCCCCCCTCCCTCCCTCCCCTCACAAGTCTTTGATGTTTATTGTGTATGGTATTTTTCTGTCTGTCTATCTGTAAGTTCTTCCTTCTACTTCTTGTTTATCCTCTCACTCTCCACTGCTCTTCATCTGTCATCTGCCTCTCTCTCTCTCTCTCTCTCTCTCTCTCTCTCTCTCTCTCTCTCTCTCTCTCTCTCTCTCTCTCTCTCAGTAATTACAGGTGTGTTGGTATTACAGGAGCCACCTGAGGTCACACAGTTACCTGGTGGTCATCAACACCTCCCGGCAGCAGCTGTTGGTGGACCTGACGAAGGGCACAGGGCTGCCACCCACCGCCACCGTCCTCCTCCGCTCCGTCACCCACACTACCCCAAGGAGAGTCATCCACACTACCCCAGGGTGAGTCATCCACACTACCCCAGGGTGAGTCACCCACACTACCCCAGGGGGAGTCATCCACACCCAAAGGAAGTCATCCACACTACCCCCAAGGAGTCATCCACACACACACTACCCCAGGGTGGTCATCACACACTACCCCAGGGTGAGTCACCCACACTACCCCAGGGTGAGGTCATCCACACACTACCCAGGGTGAGTCATCCACACTACCCCAGGGTGAGTCATCACACTACCCAGGGTGAGTCATCCACACACCCCAGGGTGAGTCATCCACACTACCCCAGGGTGAGTCATCCACACTACCCAGGGTGAGTCATCCACACTCACCCCCAGGGTGAGTCATCCACACTACCCCAGGGTGAGTCATCCACACTACCCCAGGGTGAGTCATCCACACTACCCCAGAGAGAGAGAGAGAGAGAGAGAGAGGTTCTCACTATATTATATCACTTCAGGTCAGAGGTCAACCTTGCTGTGTTGAGACTGAAGGCCGGTGAGGGACTCGTCCTTAGGCTGCCCACACAAGCTTGAACCCTGATACAACCTGAAGCCTGATACAACCTGAAGCCTGATACAACCTGAAGCCTGATACAACCTGAAGCCTGATACAACCTGAAGCCTGATACAACATGAAGCCTGATACAACATGAAGCCTGATACAACATGAAGCCTGATACAACATGAAGCCTGATTCAACATGAAGCCTGATACAACATGAAGCCTGATTCAACATGAAGCCGGCCCAAGAAGAACGTTCCACACCTGAATCACCTGTCGTCAAACTTTTAATTAAACTTCAACTTTATTATTGATCGAATTTATTATACACGATTTATTATAAAATATATAATAAACTAAAATAATATTAAAAGTAATTATTAAAGATCATTATTTTTATCCTAGAAAATTAATTAACATATTTAAAGTAATTATTTGTTGACGTTCAGAAAAATGTGAAGAAAATTTGAAAAAATAATAATAATAAAAATCATATGAATATAACTCCACTGTTTTGTAGGTCAAACTGTCTTATATTTTCAAATAAAAAAAAAATATTTATATCTCTACTGTTACCACCTCTAAAAAAAAAACTATATCTTCAACACAGTATTACTGTCATGGTCACATTGACGGCTGGTCTGTTTTAGAACCTGATTCTTATTACACTACACGCCCGCAAGACATGAATGGGTAGCTGGTTAGCTACCCCCAAGAAGAAACGCGTTTTTCCCCCTCTTGTTTTACACTCATGATCCCTCCGTAAGCCTCGCCTTTGTGAAGACAGTTGTCAATACATTTTTATTCCACTTTCTACGGGCAAGCTCAATCATGATTAGTTTATGTAAATCAACTTAAGTAATTCGCCAGACCTTTGTCAACTGAGGGTCATCTTTGAATGAGTAACAGTTGGTTTGTTTGTGATTTCTGTCATTGTGTGAGATAGCCACGTCTGGCAGCTCACGAGTATATAACCACTGGCGGGAAGGAGAGAGCGTCCCGTGACGCCTTCTCTCCCGTTGTTCCCCAGATTCAGCAACGGGTTACGAACATCAAGTGTGTGGGCCCTTAGAACACCCACCGGCCGCCTGGAGCCGGTGGATACCTAACAGTTAGCTGTAGTGGCCGATGTCGATGATTCGACATGATTAAAACTGCCAGTCTGCCTCGTGGGGTTGGACCCCAGACTCTCTCCATGTGTCGGGCTTCCACCGATCACAACAGCGGTCGTCAGTCGTCCAGTGTTATACCCTGGGACATGCCTTGAAGTTAGATGGTCCACAGAGTGTGTTGTATTTGTTTAGGGATAATTCTGGGAATAATTATCATATGTTGGGTAGTGAACCCATGTATAAGTTGTTGGTTTCATTAATAACGTGTTGTGTGTTGTGAGTGTATCTCATATGCACTACCAACAGTCTGCGAAGGTATCATATGTAAGTTTGTAATGCCATGTACCACCAGTAAGGTGTGAGAAGTAAAGTATCTGATTGGAGTTGTAATGTGAGTAAAGCCGAGGAGTTGACCCTGGTAACTGTCATGACATGTATCACCAGTAATGTGGGAGAAAGCAGAGTACCCACTGGGAATGGCATGTGAGTAAAGCCAAGGAGTTGGTCCTGGTAAGTGTAATGTAATGTAACACCAGCAAGGTTGTCAGTAATAAGAGTACAGTATCTGAGTAAATTGCAGTTGAGTAAAGCCGAGGAGTTGCACCTTCGAGTTGTATGTTAATGATATCTTTTTCCCTACTTTGATTTCATATTAATAAACCTTTTCTTAGAGTACATCAGGGGTATTCATTTTCCCGCAGTAGTTCACCTTCATTTCCGTCCAAGTGACCCTGATATCAGAATTACAATACCCACGTGCCCTGGACCCTCGCCATGCTACCAAAGAACTGAAGTACGTAGAAAGAACAATTGAAGGAACTAGACTAGAGAAGTGAGGAAGACAAGGGGGGCAGCTTGAAGTTGGGTTGTGAGAGGAATTACCCCCCCCCCCCCTTACATTACCACCGCAAAAATAATTCTCTAACTCTCCATTAGTATCAACTTAAAACATATACGAGAAAAAACAAACCAAACAAACAAATAAATAAACACACAAACGAACAAACAAACAGAGAAACAAACAAAAAACTATCAACTAAAATCTTCTCATTTTTGTCCATTCTAAAAAAAATCGTTTCAATTTTAATTTCTGTAATGGATGGATATAATATTTAACGATAGGAAGACTTAACATAGCTTGTAGTGTATTAAATTTATGACGTAAAAGGGGAGGGGAGAGGAGGGGAGAGGGGAGGGTGATGGGAAGGAGTACAGTTGGAGGTGGGAAGAGGCTTGAAGGAGGGGGAGGTTGGAGGAGGGGAGAGGGGAAGGAGGAGGGGGGTAGGGGGAAGGAGGAGGAGGAGGGGGGGTAGGGGGAAGGAGGAGGAGGGGGCGAGGTAGGGGGAAAGGTGCGTAGGGAAGGGATAAGGAGAATCCATTATACCTCCCTTCCTCCCTCCCAGCCGATAAACTATAAGATTTGGGGATATGAAGTGTAGCCCAGGTCTGTCTGTCTGTCTGTCTGTCCCTGCCACTGTCTGTAAGTCCATCCGTCCATCTGTCCGTAATAACTTCCTCTTAATAACGGATCGTCCGGAAATGAGGTAAGTGCGGTATCCCCCTAATCCATCCTGTCTTTTGATCCAACATATGAAATAGAAGACAGACAGACAGACAGACAGACAGACAGACAGACAGACAGACAGACACAGACAAACAGACACATACATACATAGATCTAAAAGGAATAATGACTTCAGTAATACCGATAAAAATACCAGTACTGATAATAATAATAACAATAACAACTAACATTCGCTACACTACAAAATTTAACCCAACAGGTGTGTGCTATTAATCATTACTTGACACAGGTGAGTGGTGTACCAGGTGTGTTTAAATTACAAATTCACCTGATACTTATTTCACCACCTATTAATTGTTACTTCAGTCGCTTATATAAACTGGATATACTGTTTGATATAGGTAGGCATAAATAGTGCTTGTGATATATATTTCCAGGTATAGGGTGACGTGATCTGTAGTGATGAGGCTGTCAGTCAGATATGGACAGGTATATATTTTTTTCAGGTGTGTATCGACGTCAGTTCAATCCCAGTAATGGATGTCACGGGTACAGGGGAGACTAGGCAGGTGTACACAAGGGTTGCAGGGGAAGGAATGTACACACAGAGATGTATACATGCGTGTGTATTTATCTAAAACAAATAAACACACACATGTACAAACACGTAAACAGACAAACAATTGTATTCTAGTGCATGTATGTGCCTTGTAAACCTGTGTATACATGTATGCATCTATGTACGTATCTACGAGGATGTATACATGTGTACCTTGTGTGCGGCCATTACAGCAATACTCTTAAGTAAACAACCCTCTTATAGCGACCCAACAACCCTCTTATAGCGACCCAACAACCCTCTTATAGCGACCCACATCATCATCCCAGGGCAGGGTTCATGTTTTCCCAGGACGACGAGGAGCTGAGAGAGCTGGCGAAGGGACTACCGGTTACGAGGAATTTACAAATACATTTATTTGTTTTTATTTATTTACACAAAACTTAGGCTTAAAGAAAATAGCGCCCCCCAATAAGAACTGTTTGTCATGAAGATCTGAAATTTTGCATGGAAGCACAACGAACAATAGGCCTTTCGCGGCACAGAATGTAAAGATTTCTACAGGACATCATTAGATAACATTATTATCTACCCTAAATTCGGTCTATGTCGTTTTCTTTTAATACACATAATAGAAAATGTTTTGTTGTAAAGGAGTAACTATAATAAAGTTTCCAAATTCTGCTATTAACGTTATTTCAATATTTTTGTGATGGCATAAGCTAGGACTGAGGAGGGTGGTTAATTCACTAGGAGGAGGGGGGGAAGCTGAGAAATAATGAGAGTCTGGGTAATGTAGAATAAGATGGGATGATCAGATGCTGGGGTGAGCTGAGAGTTTGCTGAACGTGGCTGAGAAGTGGTTTATTAGGAGTCAAAGTGATGTTTAGTTACTTAAGATAGCTGAGATTGCGCCGAGTGCTGAGAATTAGTCGAATTCTGAGAGTTAAATTAAAACAAAAGTGGATGCTTATGATCTGAGAAAAAATTGACACTTCTGAGAGACGGCGAGTAACTGTGAACTTAGTAAATTTTGTCAGTCGTATGATTATAAAAGCTGGGAGAACTGAGAGATATCTGCTGGATGGTGAGAGTTGATTTGATGGTTCCTAGGAAGCTGAGAAGAAATCGCTGAGAGATATATGGTTAACGTCTCCATGGGTGGAGCTAGGAGTAACATGACTGCCAAGTGTTTATGTAAGTTAGTCTCTTCAAGTCCTGGGGTCTTATGAGCGTGTTTCAGAGATCAAATGCTGCGGTAAACTCATCTAACTGTGTCGACGGAAGTCAGGAGACCAATCAAGTGGACAAGAGAGAGAGAGAGAGAGAGAGAGAGAGAGAGACCTCCAATTCTTCCTTCTCTTTTCTCACCTACGTCAACCTTAGCTTTGCATTTCGTAGTTCTTAATAGTTGATTATTTCACTTTTATTCATTAAAAATACTTTCATTAAGTGTTTAGTTCTTTAAGCACAGTAATATAATGTAACAATCCCCAGTCTTTCCTACAGTTCTCGCTTATTTATTTTCCCGAGTTAGCCCTTAAATTTCACCGCGGTCGTCCGTTTTCTGTCACATACCTACAGTAGTCGCATTCATCTTTGAATGTTTACATGGAATTTTTCTAATGTTTTCTTGTACTCTGTTTTATTTACGTTTAGGAATGGAAAGTTTCCTTTAAGGCAAATATTAGAGAGATAAAATTAAAACGACTACAATGAAAAAAAAAACGTATTTACAATGTTTATATTACGTGTATTATTTGTATCGGGTTTTTGCCCAATAGATTCCTATCAAATCAACGAGACTATGTAAACAGAAACGCATCGAGAATTGTACTGCATTGTGAGATCTAATCGGCGATAAGGAGAGTTATATCCTGGTCACTATTCCACTAACAAATAGATAGATGATTTAGTCCGAATATTAAGGTATCTATTGTTTGTTTTTAACTAAGGTTTACAATAACTCTTGATCCTATATAACAAGTCGGTACAGCGATATAAGAATCATTAATGTGGATTATATTTCGCTTTAGCAGTACTGTTCCATAGCCTCGTAAAACATAACAAAACACTTCATAAATACGTAATAAATTAATAAACTATCAATTTACTTTACCTCCCATATACTGAAGACGTGATATAATTCCATCGACATCTGTGTGATCGTTAGACGTGAAGAGACACTGTTAGCTGCTTGAGTAGGATAATATATCACCAATTTCTTGCACACCTCACACCACCACCTCAC